CCTATTTATAGTATTATTATTTATACTATATAATATTATATAGTATTATATAGTATAATATTATTATTATTATAGTAGTATATTAAGAATCAACAGTTAAAAAAATTACCATAACGTCTCAAATATATAGAGAATTTCGATTCTGAGTTTTAGTTGCAAGGATCTCTTGATGGATGGACAGCGACAAAAAATTTGGAAATTTAATGTAAAAAAGAATAATTTTTGTTTAAAAAATATTTTGACGTAATTGTGTAGAATGAATCACAAACATTTTTTAATTAAATTGTGTTTTGTGATCTTTGTAATATCAAACGAAAAGCGTTCTTGACTTTACCATGTTTTACATATTGACGATTCACGATATGGAAATTCGGACTGACATGATAATAGACGGTACGATGACTATCTCCATTATTTCAAAGTATGGATTGATTATATAATACAATGTACGAGTATTGTCTTATATTGATGAATGTTATTTTTATAATCTACACCGTTGAATTTTATAATCTGCACTATTGAATTTTTATAAATTATACTTAATATTGAGAATGACCCGATAGAAGTCGGAGATAGTGTTTTTAAAAATTTCGGAAATGCGCCAGGAGAGTAAGTCGGCCATTTTAAAAGATATCGAAATGCGATCAACGGTATTCAGTAGATAATCATCACCGTATCTCCTTCATTTTTGTTTGTATATCGAACTTACCCTCCTATGTCAACTTATCCTCTTTGAAATTTTGAAAAACGCTGTATCTTCTTTGAGGTACAATCGATTCTCTTTCGAATGCCGTTAATCGCATCTCGATATCTAAAATTAATTTCCCATTATAAGGGTTGCGGAAAAATTGAAAAGTGCTGTATCTCCGAGTCTTCTAAGGTATAATACAATCGAAAATAAAAGAAGTACAAACGATTCTCTTTCGAATGGCATAAATGAAATTAAAAAATCTTAAAGTTGCGCGCTAGCCATTTTTTATTTTTCACTTATTTTTTTAACTGTTTTAGGTACAAATGAAATAATGATCAGTACAAACAAGTACAAACGAAGTACAAACGCGCTACGGTATCCATTTTTATTTTTGATAAAGTTGAGCGCCAGCTTCACATCGATGTGACCTAGACGGACCCTAGAATCTGGAAAAACAGCTAATAAATAGCGCGTTCTGATTGACTCATTCCATGTCTACTACATATTGTAATTTTTTTTATAAAATAGCTCTTTCGAATAAACATTCTTTTTACATTTTATATTTTAAAAAAGTCCCCTGATGGAAAAATGTTGCTGAAATTATTCCACGTTTTGGAACACTTCAACAAAATTTCAGCATTTTAAAAAAGTTTCAGTTTAATTTCAGCGATTTTTAGCTGAAAAATTCATGTCTGATAAAATTTCAGAAAAATTTCAGCAAAATTTTTAGACAAATTTTAGCAAGAATTTCAAAGAAATTTCAAAAAATTTCAGAGAAATTTTGATTGGATTTTAGTGATTTTTCAGTATGTTAGCTGAAAAATTCACTTTCAGAAATTTCAGCAAATTTTCAGCAATTTCGCTGAACAATTTCGTTCCAAAACATTAAATAATTTCAGCGAAACTTTTTCGTCAGGGACACGATTGAACATGACAGCATGTAGTGTAAAATTTGGCGGATTTATATTTACAATGAAGAAAAATTTTATAAAATAATTGTACGATCCAGTGGTCATTGCGTTTACAATCAGAGATAGACTAAGGAACTGCCTAAGATTATTAACTATTACACAAAAAATATAGAAATACACAGTAGTATTCACACAAGTTTCAGAAAGCACTCCTTGCAGCATTGTTGTGTTCCAGCGAACATAGTGGAGTTTCGACAAAAGTATAAAGAAATCTGAAGTCCAAGGATGGTATTCCATAGCTATCAAAATACCTTGTTCTGCTCTGTACTTACCGATGTGGAAGATGACTCAATGTTGGCTAGGTCGATCGTGATCATCTATATTAGCAATAATGGTAATCGGTTTATCCCTCGGCAGTCTGTCGGCAGGATAAACTCCTACTCGGACAGAATAAACCCCTATTTAGATACTGAAATGATGTAATGCGTTTAATATTTCCAGAGAATTCATTTCTCGTTGGAGAACGTGAGAGGAGAAAATGTTTGAATAAATTCAGAGTTTACCTCTTTTGCTAACGCGAGCGTTGTAGAGTTGAAAATACTCTACGTTTGCGTGATGTTAGTGTTAGCTTTATTTTTATCAGTCATTCATTCGTTCATTTATTCGATGGTGCAACATCTCAAGGCGGAACAGGGCCTATCTTTCATGAGGTTTTCGTAATGAATTTTTTCCGAAATTAGGTTGTTAATCTAATGTCCCATCCTAAGGGATCTGTACATATATATAAGGGATATGTACTAATATATGGGGTCTACAGTTTAACGCCGGATTCAAACGGCGCTGGTGATTGAAAATCTCAATCATCAGATGGAGCCATTTTCAGCTCCTTAAAAAGGAGCGGAAAATCGCTTACTTGGGCGCAGATGGGATTGAACCCAGACAAATCGCGAGTCAACATGAGCGATAAGTCATTCGACGCCTCATTTTTATTAGTTGGCGGGTCGAATTTTGGAGGATCTTCTTTCTCCTTGTCTGTCGCTTATTCCTCCTCACTTTATATGAAACTACGTCTTTCTCAAAACTATTCCACTTTAATCTGAAACATTTTTCAATAATTTTGAAAAAAATTGACTAGAATGGGATATTCTGTATAACGGGAGGAATCTCTTACAGCACATCTCTTCTAATAACACATCCACTCACATCGGCCGATGCCTAATAATTTTCCAGTATATATATATATATATATATACATAAGAGTGTCCCAGAATGACCAAATATTTTGTGCGCAAGTAGAGCAGATTAAACTGAATCGAAAAGTCCTTTACTATTTTACAATTTTTCCAATAGTTAAAAACAAGATATTAATTATCAAAAATCGCCGAATATTAGTATTCAATAATTTTTTACTAAATATTATACTATCAACTTGACAGAAAAACAGTAATAGACAAAAATTATTTTTTTTCATAGAGCTCTAAGAATTTTTTCAGTACTTTTTTATCAACTTTTTAGTATTACATTTTCTTATATTGGCAACTAATTTTTATCAACATGAAAAAATGCGATATTAAAAAATTTTGAAAAAGTTTCTCAGAATTCTATGAAAAAAAAAATTTTATTTGTTACTGTTTTTCTGTCAAATTGATAGTACTTAGTAAAAAATTATTGAATATCAATATTCGGCGATTTTTGGTAATTAATATCTTGTTAATTATTGTGACAATAGCAAAATGTTAAAAGACTTTTCGATTCAGTTTAGTCCGCTCTATCTGCGCACGAAATTGGCGGTCATTCTGGAATGTATATACAGAGTTTTCAGAATTCACGAATACAGATTGCACAGCGTGCAAAAGAAGTATGTGCCTAAAGAAGCAACTTTTTCCTCTGATAAAATTGCGTTCAAATAGTATTTTTTAGCAATTTTAAGTTCACAAATGAGCGCTCCACGTTACACATGGATCAGGAGCGATGCACACACATTCTAAATATCATAATTGTTCACAAGTTGTCTACTTATTTTATTTTCAGTCGTTTTTTCAGTGATATCAATTAGAAAACATCTCTTCTTAAATCAATTGTATTCAAAATAATGATATTTATATATTATGTATAGTTTTTATAAAATCTTTAACAAAATAGTAAAATAATAACATACATGCTTATACGCCAGCACCGGACTTTATATGCAGTATCGTGTATTCACCGCTCCTAATCTACGCGTGAAGCATTCATTCGTTAAATTAAAATTGCTCTCATTTAAAAAGTGCTGTTTGAACGCAATTTTGCCAGAGGAAAAAGTTACTTCTTTTATATATTAGGTGTTGGAATTAATTCGTAGCGTTTTTAATGAAAGAATGTTATTTATTTCACATGAGCATTAAAAAATACATTAATGAAAGTACTTCCCATCACTTGTAAAACGCTACGAATTAATTCCAACACCTAATATATAAACAACGAAAATATTTTATATTAAATTGGCCATTTAGTGATCAATTTGGGCAATCCCTCTTTTTACACGCACACATGCGATTATAACAACTATAGATTTTATCCTCAATTATCAATATACATATACATGCTGATACCGTGGATTTTGCAGACCCCCCAAACTTTCCAAGCCTCCCATAGCGAAACCTTTTTTTGATCAAAACTCGGTGATACTGGACTTCTATAAAGGTCATCTAGATGCAATGATTGAGAGACTAACGCAAGCAGATTTTAGCTTTATTATGTATTACGCTCCCTGGGATGCAGAAAGTCAGGCTCTTCGGCACGAATTTGAAAGCGTTGCTCGGTTTTATCATCCACAGGTACAAAATTGTGATTCAGTATAGTATGTTTCTCTTTATATGTTTATAAGTTTGAGCATTGTGTGTTCTTAGATATTTTTTGCAGCCATTAATTGTTGGCATCCTGATTCAGAGTGCAGAGCCCAGTATAATAAAATCCATGGTTATCCAGTGTTAATGTTGTATCCATCCAGAGATTCTGGTATTAATTATAGAGGAATTCGTACGGCACCATATATGATTCGTTTTCTGGATGCATTTATGAATCCTATTATTAGAATAATACATAAAGAACAATTAATGGAATTGTTGGTTGCCTATGATGTAAGTATTTAAAAAAATAATTAAGTTTATTTTTCAGCTATTAATCAATTAACAAGAATTTTTTTCTGATTTGAGAAAGGGAATAAATAAATTTCATAAACATTTTGATTTTATTTTCAGAGATTCTTTAGTATTAACGACATTCAAAGTGAAACTTTTTTAAATATAAAATTATTTACAGGTTTTATATAAGATGCTTATTAGTATTAAATTATTAAGATCTTAAGATGCTTTGAGCATTAATATTATTAAATAACTTATCAATTGAATTGTGATATTACTACTCCAGCTTTGATTGTATTTCAAGATCGATAAATTATCGGTACAGAATTAGCTTGAACTAGAAATTGTATAAATTAAAGAGAAACAAGAAATATTATTAGGCACGAAGAACTGCCTTAACTATTAACTTAAAATATTTACTTAAACACGACATTTTTCACTTTCGTGTTTTTTTTTATTTTAATTTCCGCATAAGATGAATTGTGAAAAATTTAATTATACGCTTATTTTAGTAATTAAGATGCAATGAACCTAGTGGGTGGATTTTCCTTGAGCGGATCGCTTATTCATAATCTCTTATTTTAATAATTATCTGAATATATTAATAATAAATTAATATTACTCTAATAACTTACAGGCAGTGGTTGTTGGATATTTTAATTTTACACGATTGGATAAAACTCCTGGATATAGAGAATTTTATAAGGCCGCAATACGATCGTTAGAAAGAGATCCTAATAGAGAATTAGTATTTGCCATAGTGACTAGTGCATTATGCAGCAAATTGCATTACGGAGTTCACAAGTTTCCATCAGCAAGCTTGCTTATGTGGAATGAATCTTTAGTAAGTGCATAGCACGCAAATTTCTTTACTCTCTATCATACATTATACACCAGGTTTAAAAATACTTAGAGTTATCCGGAAAGCAATGAATGGACTTCCGAGAACATCCTAAATTGGATCAGCAATTCTATTCATCAACCATCTCTCTGGCTGCAACCTCCCGGAATTAAAGCGCTCACTCTCGCGCCCTATCTCCGCGAAGGACCAGTTTTATTTCTCTTTACACCACGAAATCCACTTCATATGGAAAATTATATTTACAATTTGGTGCGTTATTGTATCTTGTAACATTATCTTTTTTCTGATTTTTTAGTACGATTTCATAAATATTTCCTAATCTTAATAAAAAAAAGACCATTTACGATTTGTGTTTTTTAAATATGATTTTTAAGTTAAATATTTATAAGATTTAAATTTTTTTTACACAAACTGTATAAAAATATGAATTTTTTTAAAAATAATTTTTATACTGTGATTATAATTTTCATATATCAAGTTAAATATTTTATTATTTGATATGTATACGAAAATGCAATAAATATTCTCTTACATAATACATATTTATAGCAAATAATAGTATGATTTACATCGAAATGTTCTTACTTTTCAGATAAGAGAGATCGGCTTACAGTATTATAACTGTGCAGATAGTATGTTAGTGAAGGATATAATCGCACGTCTAGAAGCAAAACGACGTACGGCAGTGATTCGACACTTTTCTAGAAATCAAGAATGCGCTGATCTAAAGAAAAACAGAATTTATACCAAGCAAATAAAGGAATCAGTTACTAGCATATCAATTCAGAAATGGATCAATAATAGTTGTTGTGCGAACGTGGCAATGAATAAATGTCTCTTGTGCAAAACAAAAGTGATGAACCCATTAGAGAAAGAAAGCTGTACAGTTATTTCTAAAAAATTTGTCTGCAAAGAGACCGATATATTTATGACTCCTGCTACGATTAGACAACATGAAAAACAGATATATAATTATAATAAAAATTATGTGTCAATAAAATTACAAGAGTCAACATTAAAAAGGTAATATATATATTTACCCACAAATATATGTCGTTTTAAAGCAACTTTTTTAAAAAAAGAATGTTTTAAGGCTGCATGCAGGTATAGAATATAAATCATCATTGTTGAAGGAAGATAATGATTCGCGATCTGCAAACATGGTGAGAAGAGATTTTTTAAAAGGTGATTGCAGAAGATGGTTGGCTGGGAATGATTATCATCCATCATTATTCCCACGAGATTCTCCGAGGCAATTTAACTTCAGTTTAAAAGAATCAGTCTGCAAAACCAACAAGACATTAGCATTAATAGCTATCGACAGTTTGCATTATTTCCATTTTGCAGATCATCTTGGGATTGATATTTCAAAACGGAAAAATAAAACCACTGTTGTCATCATGGATGCTGCAGTAAGTTTTGATAATGTTATGTCAAGATTCGAAAAATTTGTAAAAATAACTAGTTACAGAGTTACAGTTTTCTTTTTTCAAAAAGTAATTAAAAAGGTATAGCAGAGTAGAGTACAGGCAGAGTACAGAGTAAAGGCCTTAAAAAAATGCTTTTTATGTCAATTTTTTGTTAAGTAACTATAAATTTTAGAAAAAATATGAATTGGTATATCAATTGAACATACTTTGAAGACATTTTAAGAATTTTTGTATGTCAAAATATTATATATGACGATGCACAGCATTATAAACTTCTATGGATCATATTTCAAAAAACATGATCCATCGGCGGCGAGAACTCTAGTTGTAATTATCTGAAATGAAAATTTTTTTGAAAATTTCAAATCTATATAAGTATAGTTTCAGATAAGCATAGCGATTTTTTAAAATAATTATTTTTTTACAAAATGACAGCGGTTAAAAAAATTTTAATTTCACTACATTTTGAACTTCTTAAACATTTTGTCTTTCGAAAACTAACAATTAAAAAAAAATCTCTACGCTAAATTGAAACTATTCAATTTTGTGAAGCTACTATCCAAAGCTGAGGCCGATCGATCGAAAATTGTTCCGAGTTATAGACGCCAGTTGAAAAAAAAATAGTTTTGAGAAAAATACGTTTAAAATTTCAGTATTGCACATTCAGCATTGTGCGTCCGTTCCCTAATATTTGCATAACTTGAAAAATATTGCGAATTTTATAAAAATCTTTCAGAAGCATATTTTTAAGACATCAATCTTTTGAAAAAAAATTCGATTTTTTTTTTAATTTTACTTTGTTACCCTCTTAATTATTATTACAAGTTATCGAAAAAGTAACACGTTACAATTATAGTTATTTAAAAAGAATAACGGTACACATTACTTTTCAATAATTTTTCGATTAATTTTTTGTATTACTATCTTATTATATTTGCATTACTTTAAATACCAGAATTTTAAATATTTTTAGCATCGAATTGTTTTACGTATACTAAACATTCGGTTATATGTTATATTAATAATAAATTCGGTGATTATATGTTATATTTATAATAAAGTAATACATATTTTTGGATCAAAATTATGGAATCAATATTAAGATATCCCATACGAAAGAGTATCTAAAAGTCTAAGGTTTAATTCTTAATACAGATATTTATACAGAGTGTGGTGATTATTAAAGATAAACATATATTCTAATTACAAGAAATAACTACAGATTATTCATATTGAGCACTTAATTTTTGTCAATCTATATGTTGACGAATAAGTTTGAAATAAATAATTTTAAAAGTAACTATTAAATTGGAAACTATTACTAGTTTCCAAAAATATATAAATTAAGTTACAGTTACTGAAAAAAGTAACTATAACCTTGTTACAAGAAACAAGTTACATGTTCTTCTCAACTCTAGTGATAGAAAAAAAGTATGTATTTTGAGATGTGAAAAAATGCATCTAGATACAAATACGCAAATTAAAATGTATAGATACAAGTATACTCAGGATACTCAGATACTTTTAAATTTTTATTATAATAATATGGTAATATGGCATACCCAAAATATATATAAAATATATTTGCTAATAGCTACATTCAACAGACAAAGCAGCTTCCAACTATTGTAAAATTCTTTGATATGTTTAATTCTTGTCTTTGGTTCCTAAATGTATAAGCAAACCAGTCATATTAAAGAATTTTACAAAAGTTTTTAAACTATTTTCTTTGCTGAACATATCTAATAACGCATTAATGCTGACAGTGTGCTCCCCGAATGATCCGTACGCAGATCTATATGGCACCAATAACGACAATAATACTCATAATCGAATAGAAGCTTAGATATGTAAAATATCTATACATCTAGGTACATGGATTTAGGTATTATCCAATACTTTCCAATCTTGATTGTATTTTAATAATAGAATTATTAAATACGTTTATTGTCCCTCAGTATTGAACTCTTTGCTGCATAATAGCCTATATTTGAAACACTCTTTTTTTACAATTTTTTAATGTGTTTACACATTTCATTTTTATTTGTATAACATATAATTATTTGATACATTTATACAGAATTGGAAAATAACTTGTCCTGTTGGATTGCTTGCTTTTTTTAATAAATTACTAGAATTCTATATGATGAATTCTATAAAGTACTACATTCTATATGATGCAATTCTAGTAATTTACTAAAACACAAACAATTTGACAAGAAAAAATACATCGTGTCCCGATTAAT